TCATTTATCTGAATTAGTTGAAAATACATTAAATGATCTTGAACAATCTAAAGTAAGAAAACATGATTAAGAAAAAAAAAAAAAGGAAAACTATGATTTTATTTATTTTAGTGTATTACAATTGAAAATGAAATGGATACATCACCATTAAATCTTGGAATGATTGCTGCTTATTATTATATTAATTATCGAACAATTGGTAAGTATTATCTTTAATCAATGTTTATTCTTATTTCTAATTTTTTTTGTTGTTGTATAGAATTATTTAGCAAATCATTAACATCAAAAACTAAGATTAAAGCATTACTTGATATTGTTGCTAATGCAGCTGAATATGAACATATTCCAATTCGACATCATGAAGATAATATCTTAAAACAAGTATGATAACTTTTTGTTTTTTTTTGTTTTTTCGAAAACAAAAACTTTGTTGTTATTTTAATTTTTTGTTTTTTTTAGCTTGCTACACGTTTACCAAATAAATTAAATAATGTTAAATTTAATGATCCACATGTTAAAGCAAATCTTTTACTTCAAGCACATTTATCACGTATTCAATTATCGGCTGAACTTCAAAAAGATACTGATGAAATTTTAATAAAAGTATAATTTTTCAAATAAAATAAATTTTTTTTCATAATTAAAAAAAAATAATTTTTACTTTAGGCTATTCGACTTATTCAAGCATGTGTTGATGTATTAAGTTCAAATGGTTGGTTATTACCAGCATTAGCTGCTATGGAATTAGCACAAATGGTTACACAAGGCATGTGGAATAAAGATCCATATTTAAGACAATTACCACATTTTACATCAGAAATTATTCAACGATGTACTGAAAAAGTATGTTTTCAATTATTATATCGTTCTATTGATATCAAATATAATTCAATTGATGTATTTGTTTTTTTCTTATAATTTATTTATTTTATTTTAGAAAATTGAAACTGTATTTGATTTAATGGAAATGCAAGATGAAGATCGTGTTGAATTACTTCAATTAAGTACATCAAAATTAGCTGATGTTGCAAGATTTTGTAATCGTTATCCAAATATTGAAGTATCATATGAAATTCCTGATAAAGATGATGTTACATCAGGTAGTACAGTTAATGTTAATGTAGCATTAGAACGTGCTGATGAAGTATCAGGACCAGTTATAGCACCATTATTTCCACAAAAACGTGAAGAAGGTTGGTGGTTAGTTATTGGAGAATTAAAAACAAATGCTTTAATATCAATTAAACGTTTAACATTACAACAAAAAGCTCAAGTTGTTTTGGATTTTACTGCACCATCAGCTGGTATACATAATTATATTCTTTATTTTATGTCCGATGCTTATATGGGTTGTGATCATGAATATAAATTTTCACTTGATGTTCACAAGGGAGCTAGTAATGATGTTGAGATGAAATAATTATCGTATCTTTTTTTTTTTTCTTTGTATTTGTCTTTGTTGTTGCTATTGTTGTGTACTTGTAATGAAATTACTTCAAAAAAAAAAAAAAGAACAAATGCTTCTGTTAATCTAGCTGAAGTTCTGTAAGAAAAAGAAAACTTGATTGATACTTTGATTTGATATGTGTAAAAATATATGAACAATTTTTGTTTTCATGAGATTTCTAGATAAATAAACAAAGACTTACTCTGAATGATATTGAAATAAATTCTTAGTGCGGAAGAGTCAAAATGTAAAACTCGCAAATTTTTACTATTGTAAACTTATAATATATATGTGTTCAGAAGAGAAAAAAATAAATTTGTTTTAAATGTCGAATAAATGAATACATCAAAATGATAATAACTTTTATAGATGATATGCATACTATTTAAAACATTTCAACGAATGAGTAAAGAAATTCTTTTTAGTTTATGAATTGATCGAATCAATATCGAATGTAAACAACAAGTTAAAGTTGATACAGATGGAAATCTTGTAAATTCATTAGTTATGCAAAAAATACTTTCAACTTTATATATTCATCGATTAATTATTACTTTTTTTACTTTTACGAAGATATATTAGAAAAAAAGTATTTTCTGTTAAGTTCAGTTTTTTTTACTTGTTCTATGAAAATAAAACTACAATTTTATAGATAAATTAATAGACTAAAATTAATTAATCTTATAAAAGTAAATATTTTCTGATGATTTTATATAAGAGTGAACTTTTTCAAATCTGTATTTATTTATCTATGTTTCGTTTTGATTCTAATTATTTTGTAAAAGCATAGTGATGAAAATTATGTCAACAAAATAGATTCATTTAGATAGTTTTCTAGACGAAAATTCAAATTGAGAATGAAGTTTACCATTTATAATAATCTGATACTAAGTATTTGAATATATCAACTCGATATCTGACTGCATTTATCTAACAAGAATTCAATAAAACTTCGAAGTTTGTTAGTAATAATTTCAGTAACTCGAAAAACTAAAGTTTACATTCATTTTAGCGAAGGCTCAGCTAAAAATGATTCAAGTACCTTCCTTTCAACTTTTTCGTTACCTGTATATGGAATTGGTCGACTGGTACGGTTCGTATTTTTAATTTTACCATATAAGTAAGATGAAGTAAAATAAGATAAAGTAAAGCATGTAGTTGATGATTATTGATTTATTAGTTTATTATCACAGGTTAATCACATTCCAATACGTCAAAAGTTCCGTCGAATTATAGATCAAAGGTCTCGAAAATCTGAATTTAATTTTATTACTTTGAGAGTCAGCATTGAACCCTGAGTATTTCTCGTAATTTTATTTTCTATTTTTGTCACAACCCAACTTTTCACATCCGGGGTCCCCCTCAGGTATCCAAAAAAAATGTTTGTCATTGTTCTATTACAAGTCTTTATAATTCAATAGTACCAAGGTGTGGGTGTGAGTGGGTGGATGCGTATGGGTGTGAGATGTGGAAGTGGGTAGGGTACGGGTGTGCGCTTGGATCTACAATTTACAACCACCCACACCCCAAAATATTCAGAATTCAATGTTGCCTCTCGAAGTAATAAAATTAGATTCAGATTTTTTGAGGCCTTCGGTCGATAATTCGACGGGACTTTTGACGTATTTGAATGTGATTAACCTGTGATAATAAACTAATAAATCAATAATTAGTCGACGACAAAAGTCTTGCCCGCTTTGAAATGAATTTTTTTAATTATATTTGACGCATGAGAATTGAATGCAACACATATATGTACAGAGGAGTTTGAGACATTTACGAAGCACATAGTAATTTTATAAGTGTTTGCTTCTTCTATGAGTAAAGTAAAAATATGTGAATACATCTATTTTTGGATGACTTGTTCAGAGTCGAGATGAATTGTATGATATGAGGCTGAAATTTCGAGCTGATGGATTTCTGATGAATGAATTACAATTCAAAATTTCGTGCTCAGTGTTCTTGGTATTGCCGTTGACGGAGCATAGCTAAAGCTCTTCTCTCTAAACGGTCAAAAGTTATAAACTCGAACTCACTTCACACGAGCCATCTCATCTCTCAACAGGTCATCCAAAAATGGATGTCTTCACAAATTTTTACTTTGCTCACAGAAGAAGCAAACACTTATAAAACTGCTATGTACTGCGTAAATGTCTCGAATCCCTCTGTATATATATATGTGTTGTATTCTATTCTCATACATCAAAAATCAAATAAAAAATTCATTTCAAGACGGGCAAGACTTTTGTCGTCGACTAAATCAATAACTACATGTTTTCCTTTATCTTATTTTACTTCATCTTACTTGTATGGTAAAGTTAAAGATACTTCACTTTACTTTACTTGATAAAGTAAAGATAAAGTGCCACCCCTAAGCTCCATGTTCTCATCCAAATGCATTTCCATTTGATAAACGTGTTATAGGTGCATACACTATAGATGCTGATATTGATTCTAGTATTATAACTGATCCAACTCATTGTAGTACACTATAACAGATAAATTAGGTTTAATTCATCAATATGTTACTTATAAAAAAAAAAACTATGCAACGAGAAGAAGAAAATAAACGATGAGAAATACATGAAAACTAAACTTTTCTCTTTACACTCTGTCGCTTGTGTTTTATTTATTACGAAAGATATGAATAAAATACTTGTTTGCATATTAATGTAGCACAAAGAAATGATAACACAATTATGAATCTGCTATTTATCGGCTGTCTATCATCAATTACCAATCGAATACTTGAAACTATTAAAAAAACTGAAAGACAAATTTATCATTGTGTTCGTATGTGTGATTCTCAGTCGGTTAGTGTTCAATTATAAATAGCAGAAAACAAATGATCAAGGAGCATGTCAAATGTTTACATTTACAATTCCCTATAATCATGAATATTCTTATTGAATGTCGAAATAAACTTTGACGTTTTGAAGAAACTTACTTGAATAAAAGCAATTAACTAGTCGTCCTTATAGAATATGTGTTATAATATGTTCAGAATATTTAAAACGACATCATTCACACAGTTCTTATTTTTCCGCTTCACTTGTTGCTTTTTATAATTCGTATTTTTTTTTACCAAATTAATTTTTTTTTCATGACGCAGAAGAAAATTTCAAGCAAGAATTAAAAAGACTTCCAGGTGTGCAGTTGACCCCTTCTTCATACACCAACGATCACATCCTATTGGATTTGCGGGCATCGGATATCATTCAGACATTGAAAACTGCTGTGCTTACTCTCATTTCGTTTCTAGACGATGTTTCATTATAATGACGAACTTCCGTACACATTTCTTTTAGTTATTTCGTATCTAATCTGATTAATAAATGCTGATAAAGAAATTTCTCCTGCAGAGAGAACGAGTGGTAATCAGATGCTTTTTTAATTAGTTGAATTGAGTTATTCAGATTTACTTTGTAGGAATACAATCAATAGAAGTAAAACACGTTAATAGAATTTAAGATAAATTATTTTGCTATTTTCTCAATGTTTATTCTTTGAAACTTTGCGCAATGTTGTCGCTATTTTTGTGAATCTTCGTTGTTCATGCCCTGCCGATCAGTCTGTTCCAAAACGCTTTCAATTGTGCCGGAAATTTAAACACATTTTTCCAAAATGATTTGTTTTCAAACGCTACCATGCACCACTGAGCCACTTTTTCTTCGTCGAGTGATTCCATAATACCCAAAATAAGTTCATCAATACCGGATTCCTCGAAAGTTCTGCCTGTATAATCATCGACAAATTTTTGGCTATTTACCGCTGTGCATAGTCCCATATTTCCAAAGTAGATAACACCATTTTCCTCTCGAGTTTTGACGTGATAATGCTCCAGTAATCGTTGAAAATCTTCCATAACAGCATTTCGTTGTGCTGCTTGTCCACCATATTTGTTCGTACATACAAGAGCACAAAATATTTGTCTATTCATACACTCTTTTAGTAGCCAATTTAATTTTTCAAGATTTGCGAAAGAACCTGGTGATGCACAGTAGATCATGCATAGTATATCAGATTTAGGCTTCTTTAAAATATTTTCTAAATGTCTGCGAATGTCCTCTTGACTCCAACTTTCAAGTCCGGGTGTGTCCCAAAAATTATATTCATAATTTATTGTTCCAGAGTCAGTTTTGATGTTACCTGTAAGGTAGTAACGCGTGATCCCATGCGTACAGGCATCAAGTCCAGGACTTGTTTTAGCCAATGTCTGTTGACATATGGCGTTGATCAGCGTACTCTTTCCAACTCGCGGTGAACCACACAAGACAATATTAATTTCTTTAAACGTGGTAGCAATATCTCTACGTATAATAGGATCACGAGTGGCAGCTGCACCAATCTTGTGGATCTTAGATGTCACACTTTCGTAAGCGTCAGCTAAATTTTCTGTTAGAGATAAGTCTTTAACATCGTCATTTGATACTAGTTTTGCTTTATGGAAAGCTACTTCTTCTTGTATGGGTTGCTTACGTATGGATGATGCTGAACATGAATCAGACATGTTTGGTTTTAAGTTTGTACTTGTCGGAATAAATTTTGCAGTATCGAGAGGTTTCAATTCTTCATTTGTAAGATGTGAAGTATTTTTCAGCGAAGAAGTAGGAGAGACTTTCTCAGGTGGAATAGTAGATGAAACGTTGTTTCGTGGCGATTCACTGATTACATCGCTTTTTAGTAGGCTAGAAGGCTTTGGAGGCACTGGTGGTGCTTTCTTTCTTTCGGTGCCGAATTGTGTTGTACATTGAGTAGGCGCTGGTTTATTTGATGCATTAGCGTAAGAACTAGAGGATGACGACTTGAAATACATTTAAAAAAATGTTTGGTGTATACTTTAGATATATATATTAAGGTTACTCAAGCGAGTACAATTAATGAGAGGAATCATGAAAGCTTGTTGATACTTACCTTCTCATTATTTTCTATGTTTATTCTCGATTGGGTAGTAGAGACCGGTGTTTTTGATTTGACTACTCTTTCACCTTGACCCATGCTTGACATTTGTTGAGCAAGAGCCATTATTTGCTCACGTATTGCTGTTTTCTTGCACAACTGAAATTTGGGATGATCTATTGTAAGAACTCTGGTCTCTTCCAGTGTCTTATAATGATCAAGCATTTCTTGATTGTTCAACAAAACGAGATAATAATTATTGGAATCAAGCTTTGACCTAATAATGAAAGGATTCCTAGAGTCAGTTAATTAGATTGATCATATTCAAACCAAATTAAGACCCTCACTGGCAAAATAACAATGTCGAAATATTGGGTGTTTATGGATTGATATATTTTATTTTTCAATGAGTCTACTCTGATGGACTTCAGTTTTCCAGAAAAATAATATTTTCGACTTTCGCTCTGAAACTTTGCAGACATAAAGATTTCAATAAGAATAGGTTGCAAAAAAAATTCCAGAATTTTTTAATAATCTTTCTTCAAGATGTGAATTTTCTAAAATATAGGTGCTTTCCATAGATGTTAGATATATTGAGAAATTCATATCTGGTAGACAGATTATCCAAACTTCTGGAAGTAGTTTTGAAACTTAGTCTTATTGAAGCCTGTATGTCTACAAAGTTTCAGACCGGAAGTTGAATATATATTATTTTTCTGGGAAACTGGAGTCCACCAGAGAAGAACCATTGAGAAATAAAATATCTCGATCCATGAAACTTATGAACATCCAATATTTCAACTTTGTTAGTTTGTTGGTGAGTGTTAATTTAGCTCGCAGATAATCAATCCAATTAACTGACAATACGAACCTCTCCTTTGTGAGTACACTGTTTTCACATACATATTTAATAATAGTTTCCACTGTTGATCGTAACGAAACTGGTACATTAAAACTTTCACCAGTTTGTTTGAAATGAACTTCAATCATTGTATTTGCCATTAGTTTTTGATCTAAAATGTACCTGAGAAACGTTTTTGCTTGACCGAAGATTATTTTGTCCAAACACTCTTGTAAAACGAATAGGCGTTTCTGACTGTATTTCCTAACTGAGCTCTGTTTTTTTCTAACATCGTTTTTTGTTGTTCGTATAAAACGAAGTTGACAATGCGAGATAGTAATAAATCAAGAACGAGTGAATAGAACAATATCAAAAACGATTTTCTAAAAGAAAAAATAATCACCTTGGCCAGTTTTTTCGTAACAAACCTATAAGGCAATCGATAGAAAAGCATGAATCACTTCTCTTAAGATGGCTATCATTTATTGAAATAAAGTAGCTCTACACAAAAAAGCATGCCGAATCCTTCACCTCTTTCTTTCTGTTCTTTTGCTTCTCTTTTTTTTCTGTCCTTAAAACGCTTACAAGTGTTTGCCTTCGTTTCTTTTGCGATTCTTTCTTTCGTTTACTTGCTTCTTCTCGAACTCTGAAATTTTTTATCCTGTTTTTGGTTTTTTTTTTTTGTCTGCGCTCTTTTAGAACCACACAAGTAGATTCAATACTCTTTATAATAAGTTGGTAGCGACTGTTAAACTCATTGCATTTATGCTATGTTGAATGCTTCAATATCATAATTTCTTCTCATATTATCTTGTAAGCACTTCTGAGTGTTGCATTTATGCGCATAGTAATAAAAACCCGATGACTCGAACGATTTGCTTCTTATTTTTCATCTAGTTTTCTATAATTTGTCTGGCAAACTAATATTCTTGTTTTGAACAGGTCGACTTCAATATGCTATACAGTATATTTTCTTAGATGGCGCCACACATTTTCGTCTTAGTTCAGTCTTCTAATAAGTGACTATTTTTTGTGTCGACGTCTTAAATAATCAAAGTAGAAAAATAAGCGACAAAAGTCAATGTGACTAGTGCCGACGAAATAAAAAAGAAGAGCCACTTCAACTGAAATTTAGTATTTTTTAGAGACTTTTAAAAATAGTCGTGCCCTGAGATAAAAAAAAGAAAACAGAACAAATCAAGCAGAAGAACTCTGGCTAACCAGCAGCTTTTCAACAGTTTTCAAGGCATGGGAAGATAGCAAGGGCATCACTATCGTAAAGCTGTGGGCTAGTGACATCATAGATTGGAGAAAGAACAAGAGTAGTGCTGGATAGAGGATAGAGAAAAAGAATCAGTCGACAATGGTGCTTTATACACCGTGGACAGTAGATTAAAAAACAAAATTATATCACAATTTACTTGACGATGAGAGTGTCGGTAGTATTCGGGATAAAGAAAATATTTATATCCAAGGTGCTTAATGTAAGCTCGGGTTTAGTATATACTTACCACCGTCAAACTTCATAGAAGGTTTAAAACACAAATTCAATATTTTCTTATGAAACTCCGTTCACGTGTCAACCTATGCTAGATAAGATAACAAATAAAATAAACCAAACCTTTACACTTTCGCTTCAAAAGCTATTATTACTGCAACAATTCTTCCTTGTTTGGCGGTTTCAGTGTGAGTGTGGATCTCTGTATTTGTGTCGGTACATGTGAATGTGAGATAAATCTATTGTAGTGCGATTATGGATAGGTAGAAGTATAGCTAAGAGTATTGATATTGATATTTTCTTTTTCCGCAGTCTACAGTCTCAAGAGAATATTAATGCATATTACTTGCAGTAGTGATAAATTTGAAAGTTGAATTCAATTGAATAGCTACTTTTCAACTTTCAAGTTTGAAATATATGTGTTTCTCTAGATGAAATACAATTACAGACTAGATAATGGTGTCGATAATGTCACTTCAAATATGCAACAGTTTGTTGTTATTTCTTATCAATCTATATGCAAACATGTAAGAAATGTCGAGTTTTTACTCCACGAAGTGACTAAAGCAATTGCTATAGCAAGCAAATTTTTCACTTGATAATCATCAGAAATCGAGTAATCATTTCTATATTTTGCTTACTTATTGTCTTAAACTTACGAAGAAACCGTTCAAACTTTTCAGATTTTCATCTTATCTCGTGAATGTTCTAAAGAATTCGAGTCTGTCAATGAAGTTTACTTCACTATCGGTGATACTGTTTGCCAGCATTCGAGCTGTTGCTTGTCACCTTGTATTCAATACAGTCATCGTCGCAAAGTATTCAGTTTCGAATGCTTTTTGAAGTTTATCATTCTGGTATCATCAATGATATTGACAAGAAAAATTACTGTGATTCACACACATGAAAAAAAATCTAAAAATGTTAGGGTGACTTGTCGATGATGTGATTAGTTTATCATAAAATGTTCAGCTCTGACTATACTTTCATTCACAAGATAATTGCAATATAGATCAAAATTGCTATGTTCCTTGTAACTTGAAAAATTCGATATCTCAGAAGACAAAATGCTATGTGCACGGATTCTTCTAGATTTATGCTACTTTAGAGGACTTATCTATATAGCCAAAGCGTGAGCTTAAAAGCAGTTCATCACTTTGGGCAGTTTCTTCATTATTCGATTCAATTGAATCTATGTTATTCTCTCATTTCCAACATTTATCTAATAAGCTAATTGTCAGCATACTATTTAATTGGTCTTAATGCAGAATTTGCTTTTTACGATTTCAACGCTCGTCTGAATAAAGTTTTGCAGCGTTATAAAACAAAAGTCGATCTTTTTCAATATCTCAAATTTCAATTTGACTACGCTTGTTAAACGATGCTAATTAGTATTCAAAATCCATTCGTTCTCACTTTTTCACAAAAACTTCTCTTTGGTTCCTTTATTTGAACTTTCATTCCATTGCAATGAAATAGTCAGGCTCGTCTGCTAGAAAAGCTGGCATTAGTGAATATGACAAGTCGATCAATCGATGTTATTACGCTATATTTATTTAATCTGTGGAACCCTCGTTCTCTGACTATAATGTAAAATTCAAAAATACCAAAACATACAAATCTATTAATCATTGCGATGGATGCGAATCTTTTCACTCGCACAAATCTTAAACTCTGGCACAGAAAAAAGCGAAGAGATATATCTTTGTAAAAGGAAAATCCTTTTAGTAATGTTTGAATGGCCATGAGTCATATATGTCAAACTTGAAAGTTGAAGAATGATTGCTCTATTGAATTCAACTATCAAGTTAGACACTCCTGATCATTTTATATGAACTTCTCTTGTCAGTATAAACATATGAACATTTGTAAACTTCAAGTTAACAATCATCTTGAGAGCTGAGAGAATATATCAGCGTCCAAGAATTTAGATAGATTAATTTTCATTATTTTAGACTCTAACTGGATATCTAGCGATACAGAGTTGAGTTCATTCTACAGCAAGACATACTCGGTTTTCCAGTGCACTTTTGTTGTATGAAGAACTCATCGTAGCAAATATATAAGCCAACTCATGAAAATTTTGACTGAATTTCCTCAATCAAGATTCTTGAGTTTTGTTGAATAATAGAAGGCTTTTTATAGAGAGAAGCATTTTATGAATTTTAACATAGGCTGCTTTTCAAAACAAGGAGGTATTGCTTTTTCAATTTCTCTTTTTTTGCAAAAGTCCTATTGCAAAATTGAGCAAAAGATCATGAGAGTCACCATA